TGATGAGAGTTTGGAAGAAGCACCGATTTAAATGGGATTATAAAATACCGCTATGGCTGGATCTTGGTCATATTTTGTGGAATACAAATATAATGTCACTCGGGGGGGGTTTATATAAAGAGGTTCTTTTTACAGATGCGGGCAGATGGCAGCTGAAGACACTACAGACACTGTTGGCTGAAGGGATTAATATAACCTGGCTACAATATAATCAACTTCAACAGAGATGGAAAGAGGACCAAAAAACTGGTATTATGTTGCATGAGGAAGAGTTGGTTAGACATATAAAAGAGAAAGGTCCAATGCATATCAAAAGGCTATATAATGTTTTGTTAGAAAGGGACTCAGAAACTGAACTGGTTAAAGATTGCATGATTAAATGGGCACAGAATTTTGCAGAACCAGTAATGTTGGAAACATGGGAGAAAATATGGGTTCAGAATGTTAAATTTACGCAATTGCAGACTTTGAGGGAAAATTTTTACAAGATGTTTTATAGATGGCATTTAGATCCCAAGAAATTATCCTGTATGTATCCTAATGTTCAGCCAAAATGTTGGAGATGTGATTGTTTAGATGCTACATATTATCATGTTTGGTGGAATTGTAAGAAAGTTAAAGCTTTTTGGATAAAAATATGGTGGGTTATGCAGAATATTTTGAAGAAAAAAATTCCATTTTCTCCACAATTGTTTTTATTGGGTATAGTAAAGGGTTTTACACAGGATGAAATTAAGTTGATATTGTACATGATAACTGCAGCGAGATTATTGATAGGTAAATATTGGAAAAATGAAGCTTTACCCACTATCGAAGAATGGATTTTGAAGATGGCCAGTTTTGCTGAGATGGCGAAGATTTCAGCATATTTAAAAGATCGCTCACAAGAGACTTATGAATGGGAATGGAAAAAATGGATAAATTATGTGCAGAACAAATATCAAGTTAGAAAGTACCAAATAGTTTTTCATTGAAAGTATTATATAAAAATAGAAATGTATGAAAACTGTGAAGATAAAAAAAATTTTTTTAAGGGGGTTTGAGGGGTTCAAGTTTTATAAAAAGGGGATTTTGATGGGATTATATTTTGTGGAAGTCAGGGGGGAGGGTTAGGGGGGGTTTGGGGGGGCTAGGGTGGGGTGTGGGGGCTGGGATGGGGGGGAAAATGGGGTGAAAATGTAACTGTAAAACTTTTGCAATAATAAAAAAAGAATAGTAGGAATTATTATAAAGTAACAGTATCGGAGGTACAAATCTAGGTGCTGAAAAAAATTAAAAAGAAAAGAAAGGTAACAGATAACCAACATAATGACAGCATCAAAGAGATTATATCAACAAACTAGGGTCAAAGTAGAATTGAGCCAGAAGCCTTGAAAACATATTTGTACATCTTTATCTTTCATATAGTATTTTCCAATTTATTGAGTACTCTTTGATCAGTTGTCTTCTTTAGTTTGTCAGTAAAAATATGAAAATCATGGCCCTAGGTGGAGTAAAAAGCTGATATATTTAAAGAGAGCCAGATATTAGGTTTTTTAAAAAATACATATTGGATGGACCACTGCAAAAGCAACATGAGCCTGGGAATGTAGAAGAAGAAAAAAATCTCTTAGTAACAGAGTGACCTTAAAATAATTATACCCATAATCACAGATGGATTACCATATCCTGGTTTGTAGACTTAAGTAAAGTCTTACTAATTATCAAATATTTTCCTCAGAACATTTATTACTATTGTGATTATTACTTTCCTACTCAGCATTTTTAATGTAAAGTAGCTAACAACAGCTAATAAAGGTAAAGATAAGCACTCTAGAGCAATTAAGAGAGAAAACAGAACATAAATTTTCCAAGGAAGCAGTGTAAAAAAAAAGTTAAATCATCTGCTCCCTGTCAAATATACACATACATAGTCATACATATCAGTCAGCAACAGATGAAACATATGTAAGGGAACAGACACATTTTTAAAAAAAGATATTCCATAATACTGGCATATCAGTTGAAAAGCCTCTATCCATTCGACTTACCCTGGCAACCCCTAATGGCAAGGCTGAATTAGGATCTCTGATAAGAAACTTAAAAGAGATGATAGTCTTTAAGCCATATAAATCTCCAGAAGCTTGGTGTTTTAAAGTAAAACCAATATTCTAAAGGATACAGTATAACATATATACTGTAAGTGATTATGTAGCATGCAATACATGTTTTTTTATCAACCATCCTCAGAGAATACTCAAGCTATATTATTTTTGATCCACTAACATTTCAGGTCAGGCTATCATTACAGGGTCAGTCCCTCCATGCTGAATCTGGTTATTGCTACTACATAACTGATTACAGCCAATCAAAAGAATACATTTAAAAAGGGAACACAGATGATGTATTAGCCAGAGCTTGTTATAATGCATTCTTAGTCATTCCATTGCCAGTAAATTTGCAAACAACTTTGAATCAAGGATCAAATATCTTAAGAGAAAATGAAACCCAATATAATGAAAGCTGTATATTTATCCATAAAGTGACAATGTACAATATTTTCATATTCTGTTTCATGGAACTATTATATTTAGATTTTTTTTTAAAAAAAAGCCTTTTAAATTTGCTAATGGAATTAGGAAAAGGAGACACAGAATGTCATATGTTCAGAGGGTTGGTGGCACTTATACAAGAGTCAGCAGCAGAAGAAAACATTTAAATTTGCTACCCATCAATTTTTGCCTAATTCCTCAGCAGGCTTTAATTCTTTATCTAGCTGTCTCCAGAACCTAGGGGGAAAAAACTTTTAGGAAAGCTTTTTCATGCAAGGTTTGTTGTTAGGAAAATCTAAGTACTTCTCCTACTGTTAACTATTTCCTTTCCTTGATTGCTTTTTTACTTCTGAGTTGCATTATCATAATAAATATAGTGTAGTAAAATGTGTGCTAAAATAGTGTTATTCTCTGCTATGAAAGCAGATAAAAGTATACAATCTTTTTTAAAAATTTGAATTGTAGCACAATGTTTTATGTACTCCAATATCACTAAAATGGATATTTCAATATGTGCTTTCCCAATATTTTAAAGAAATATAACTTAAAATATATGCTAACTTTTTGTGAAGAATAAAATAAAACAGGCATGTTATTAGAACTTTAGGTTGTTGTTTATACATATTTAAGTAGAAAAAACTCCATTAAAATTAATAGAATAGGCAGTTCTTGCAGAGGAATAATGATAGAGGGACAGGAAAAAATATCGAGTGATTCTAGCTCCTAGTGTTTATCCTATCCCATTTAAAAGGGTCCCTATTCTAAAATAAATTTGGTTAAGTAGTTTTCTTTTTCAGCCAGAAAAAACTGTGTCTTGATCTCTTATTAAAAGTCACTGTCAGTTATATAAGAAAAAAAAATCTGCCTTCTTTTTTTTAATTCACATGTAATGTATCATTAAGAATCATGGAGACACAAAAAATTTAAACGTTGTTATTAAACTTCAGGCTCTTAAGGTCACAAATCATTTAAGGTCTTAAAAAGTACATATATTACATCAATCATTTGCTTTCTTTACTTAGTAACTATTAATGGGCTGACATTGTATAGCATGTTTCCTTTCCACAAAATATACCTTTAAGTTTTCAGACAAATTTTAAAATGTAATATATACTTTTGGAGCAGAGAATCAATCAACAACAAATACTATAAATATGATTTATATAAATGTTAAGTAATAGGAAATTTGTTAATTTAATCCAGTTTTATAACAGACTGTGCATTATGTTTCTTGAAGAATTTTAAATTGACAAATTTCTGAATATTTGTTTCATTTATTTTTCAAAATTATGTATGTAAAAGAGAAAACATTTATGTATGTTATTTCTACTTATATTATTTCAAGCACTGGGAAATAGGTAATATCCCTGCTATTAAAAATAATTATATAAAATAAGAATTAAGCAAAAGTAAAGTAAACAAAATAAAATGCATTGTGTTTTATATAGTTAAATCTTTATTTTTTAATATAAATATTCTATTTTCTAAACCAATTTAGACTCAGTATTAACAATTTAAAGTTGTACCTTAAGAGTGTACACTGCAGTTAATAGATTTTTTTTATGCATATACCATTTTCCCTTATAAACACACACACACACACACACACACCTGGAAAAATGTTCCTTGCTGTTAGTAAAATAAATCTTCTAATACAATTCTTCTTTCAAATAAGTGATTAAAACTTGTCCAACACTAAAGATCTATTGAAATCACTGCAACTTGCTTTGTATATGCTTATGTACATGACAAAATGAAAGTGAAGTACACTTAAATTGCTAACCTGGTTAACTATATGTAGCAATCTTCATTGGAGGGGAAGCTGGTTTTTTTATGCAAAGCTTTCACGTCAATACAAGCAGTAGAACTCTATCTGTAATGACATCTGCAAGCCCAACAAACAGTGAGAACGACAGATGCATCTAAGCAACTGAAGTTCCTTTTCAGCACCTGAGACAGCACTCTAAAATCTGGCTATATTCCCTCCAGTAGCTTCAGCATGCAGTCCACTCTGCTGCCATCCAAAAACTAGCTGCATATGGCACACCCAAGCCAGCCATTACACTTGATTTTGCTGCATTATAACTTCCCAAATCAAGAAAAGGTCTGTCTCAGCAGAGGAAATATAGCATCTAAAACCATCATGGGGGTAGTACACTAGATTGCAGTCAAGGGACCACCAGTAAACCTCAGGTTATCTACTGACCTGGTTTGCTTTAGACTCATGCACAAACTTTCCAGTCACTGAAGGAGATACAATGGAGGTGTTTTGCCAAAAGCTCTTTATCTGGGGGTCTTTATCTAAAGAGCCCCTTCTTCAACCTTTTTCAGCCCCCTCAAATTTTTTTTTAAAAAAAGCATTCTGCACTTGGGCTACCAAGAGAAAATTCAGAATCAGGTAAAAATGCATCCATTTGAAGGCAACACTTTCCCATTTCCTGGTGGAAATAACTAGAGGTCTATACTCACCATGTTGACTTCAGAGACCATGTCGATACTGGCAATATCTATGTTCATCCCGACATTCACTGGGGGGCCTTAATGAAGAAACAGACGGCGGCGTCATTTTGACATACGGTTGCCTGGCGCCCAGGGGTTGGGGGGGCTTTCGTCTTCCTCGGCAGAACCCCCACCCCCAATCCCTTTAACTCACACCCAGAACACCTAAGGGAGGGTTAGGGGAGCCTCCCCAGGGCCTCTCTCACCTCCAAAATCCGGTCTGAGGCGAATGTCGTAGCCTTTCAACAATTTATCCACAGTTTCTTTGACGAAGGACATGTTCCCCGGATCGTTCACACTGTGGAAGAAGGAGTTCGAGGGAAAGGGGGCAGGGAGGCAGGAGAAGCGGACATGAGCCAGGAGAGCAAGAGAAGTCGGAAGAGATGGGTTGGAGGGATAAGGAAAGTGAAGTAACGGGATGGGCCAAAGAGAGCGGCCGGGACAAGAGAAGGCGAGGAAAAAGAAGTCGAAAGGAGGCAAAGACAGCGAAGCAGGAGGCGTGAGGAAGGAAGGAAGGAAGGAAGGAAGGAAGGAAGGAAGGAAGGAAGGAAGGAAGGAAGGAAGGAAGGAAGGAAGGAAGGAAGGAAGGAAGGGGCAGAGGTTGTAGGAAAGCTCTGGTCAGTTCTTTTCCTCAGCGAGGCGCAGCCTTCCTTCCTTCCCCTCCCTCCTCCCCGCCAGCCGCTGCTCCTACCTCTGGGCGCAACAGACCACGGCCACCAGGACGGGAGCGGAGAAGAAGCCGAAGAGCCTGCCTCCCCCAAAGCCCCACATCCCTCCGCTCCCGGCTCCCTTGCCGCCGCCGCTGCAGCCGCCGCCGCCGCCGCGTGCGGTTCCGGCTGCCCGAGAGCCGCTGAGGAAGAGGCGGAGGCGGAGGCGAGCGTCCCCTTTCCCCTCCTCCGGCACGTCCCCCCTGCCGGTAGCGCCGCGAAGCTCCTGAGGAGAGGCGGAGGAGGGCTTCTCTTTCCCCACCCCCTCTCAGCCTCAGAACTGCTGCTCAAGGCACCGTCGAGAGGTGGCCGCAGGGCTCCTTCTCCTCCTCCTCCTTTCCCCCCCGAGGAGAGTTCTGCCGGCCGGGAACGGGCGTTCCATGGATTGCCGCGGAGGCACCCACGAGCCGTTTCGCCCGGACGCTTTGTCCTAATCGCGCCCACCTCCGCCTCTCTTTCCTCTCCAGCGGGATTCACCGCCAGCCTTCCCCGCCCCCACGGCCTCTCGCCGCCGCTCTGCTGCTTCCACTGAGGCGGCAGACCAAACTGTAGGCGCACGCTGGAGCGCGAAGCCGGCGTTAAGCGAACCGCGGCCGTGGGGAGCACAAGCCACAGGTGAAACTGTACCTGAGGTGTTTGAGAGTGCGGGGGGGGGCACAAGGGACCAGGACTTCGGGAGGAGTTGCTCTTGTGGCTCTCACATCGCGGCCTGGCTAACCCTGGCCGGCTGTGCTGACTCAGCAATGCAGGGCACCTTGTAAGTCCCGCCAAAGTTCTTAGTTCAGGGACTGGCCTACCTGCTCTTGCTCTTTCTTTTTTTTAAAAAAAAATATTTTTTTTATTATGTTTTATCAATGGAATAAAAGACAAAACAGAAAAAAACACACATCCAACAGTAACAACAACAAAAATGTGTACAAAAGGGGGGTGGGAAATGACCCAAACATTAGATATATATAACATAAAACATAGAAAAAATCCAACCTGACTGGATGCTGAAAAGAATTTTTTTTAAAAAAAATCGATAAATTCTCCTCCCCTTACATAATGGGTCTGCAAATAATTATAAACTTGCTCTTTCTAATAAACTTTATCACCTGTGATTTCTTTCCATGTCCCTAATAAATTGGGTCTTAATATCTGGTTGAGAATATCTAATATCTGGTTACTTTTTGCAGCTCGCCCACTCCAGAAAATTATCCACCATAGATCAGCAATCACTCTTGGTTTCTAAATCCAAGCGTTTTTTTCTTTCCTCCACCTTCCAGGAATGATGTTGACAGCACCCAGTCAACATCTGGGGACCTTATGGAGCTGATTCTCTTAAAGATGACCTTGAATACTATTGAATTGCAGCACTTTGACTGCTGCCTAAGGGTAAATTCACTGGAACACTCTACACTAGTTCAGGAGCTTTAGCTGCCCTGGCAGGTAGGGAAAATGTAACTTGGTGATTTTGCAGCTCCTCTTTATAGGAATGGCTTGGAATTATTATTAGCAGTCAAATGAAATATATTTGAATAGCAATATATGTACAGGAGGGATTGAGAAATATATCCTTTTGGTACTAAATGAAGAAGAGATGATATTTTTTTGTTTCTCTAAGAGTTGAAGTAGCTGACAGCAGGCCAATTATTCTTTGCATTTTGTCCTTGTATTACTTTGAATGTAATCACAAATTATTTTCCAACTTCTTTTCGGATTTGGGGAAAAGAAATAGCTAGAAGCACAGAAATGTCATATCAACCTAGCAGCAACACCCAAATTTTAGGAACAGTAAAACCCTGCACATATACACAAACACTTATGTACTTCTTGGTTAAGCATCAGCTCTTTCTTTTGTCTTACTAAACTCTAAATGAATATTTCTTACAATTTCTTATTGCTTATTGTCTTTGACAAAAACTCTGCTCCTCCATGCCCTTCTCGTTCATTAACCTTCTAATTATTTAGGAAGCTATCTTTTCTTTTCTGAGTCTCCTGAAAAGTTTTAAACTTAACTTTTCTTTGGCACAACATCTAATTTTAGAGGTAAATTAAAATGAATTGTCAGAGAAGTCCCTTTCATGAATTATGAGTGGAAGGACGCTATCCATAGGAAGTCTATTAATGTCTCTATGCTGGCTTTTTCCAGAGATCTCCATGCTCTGTGACTTAGTGGTAGAAATGGAAAGACACATGATTTTGGAGTAATGCCTTATGGCCTATTTATTCATATGAAGGTTTTTTTAAGCAATATAGTTCATGAAGGAGATTTTTTTGAAATTGAACATTCTGAGTGATGGGCTATCATGATTAGAAATGCAGATCTGGACACATAACTTTGTCAGCAAATAAATATGGTTGGAAAATCATGTATCAAGACAAAAATTATCATTGGCAGCATTCTATATTTATTTATTTAAAATATTTATGTAGCTGCACATCTTATATTGAACTCTGGGCAGCTCCCAAAGAGCAGTTAAAGGAATATCGATATACCATTAATACATACATATATCTATTAAAGGCACAAACATTAAAACCTGGCACCAAAATTAAACTTTCACATATGCAGCCATCAGTAAGTCCTCTGTCAATTTCACCCTATCACAATGCATGAGGGAAAATATAAACCTCAAGTGCTTTTCAGAAAGGGGAGCCTAGGAAGGTAGATTTACACTTTAGTCTAAATGTTAGAATCATGAGTATGTTCAGGGCTAAGAGACAGAAAGAAAATGAATATCCCACTGGATAATTCATGGAATATTCATCAATTCAAAGGTAACCTAAGATACAGTATTTGGCCTCTCAAATACAAAATACTCAAGCACTTTTTTCTCAGTGACAGCCCAGACAAAGAGCTTATGTGTATGGCTTTAGGCTCAGTTCAGAATTGACTGTCCTGGCTTCACTGATGCAATCATCCATATATTGTACATCTAGAAAAGTATTAGAAATGGGGCCAGGGCATAAAAAGATAGGCAAAAAAAGGGTAAATAACGAAAACAGGAATGAAAAGATATAAAATGTGATGCAGAGAAATGGAAAAAGAAAATTTTCCACCTTTCAGTAGAAATAGGATCATACAATAAAAGCTAAATGGTAGGAGATTCAGGAAATAATAGGATATATTTTTATACATGCCGCATAAGCACTACTTGCACTATCACATGTTGCAGTGAAAAACTATCATCTCATACTTTTCTCTGTCTCTGTCTGTCTTTCTCTGTCTGTCTGTCTGTCTGTCTGTGTGAGAGTGTGTGTATGTGTATGGAGGGCCAGGTGGAGTGTTTATGAAAGGCAAAGCTATCAATATGTTAGTCACATTTCTATTTTAAAGAAACAAAAAGCTGCACTAAATGTAAGGTCTCCTTTTGCCTATATTTTTATGTATATTCAAATTCTTTTTGGAATTTATAATACATGTTTTCTTAAGTGAAGTATTTTTAAAAGAAAGTATGAGATCATGTTAAAGAGATGCACATAATCAAGCACTGTATTTTTGTCTAATGCCCTATATGGGCAAATTGAAAGGAAATGTAAGGTGTGAGCAAATCAACACTTAGGTTAAATGTGTAAAATCTGTTATATTTATCTAATTAAGATTATTTTCCCATTTAGCATTCTTACAAGATGTCTGTTTGCTGGAAATCTATGTGAGGGAAAATTACTTGATTATGGATATTGGATACTTGCTTCTTTCTTTAGATTTTTATTTCCTTGTTAATACTTTACATGTATTAAAAAGTCTTTGGGCAGAAGACAGTATGTTTCAATTACGTTGAAAACAAGTGAAATATTAGAAACCAACCATGACATGGAATTTTACTTTCAAATACACATTAATTTGTTACTTCTTATATGTCCTGATAAACATTATCAGCAATAAATCATAAACACTGTTTTGAAATCAAGCCCAACTGAATACAATGGAATTACTTTGTATAAAATAATGTAAGACTGCTCATATTTTTATCATGGTACAAGTTAAGCTAGAGGAAACCTCCATAACTCTTCCTAGAATTTCAGTCAAAGTTGCATTCTGTCTTAAGTCTTTGACTTCCCTTTCTTTTATACTCCAGGAAATAATCTAATGTTAAAAAAACTTCATTTTTGCATAACTTTAACCCCAAATTAAAAATACTCTGAATTTATGTTTATAAATTATTTGCAAATGCAGGTAAGGTACATTAGTAATGGCAGTGGCCAATATAGTGATCCAGAATAGGTGCTTTTTCTTTAGTAAGGCTGAACCATAGCAAGATTGTTAGTTTTCTAAAAAGCTTGGAAATCAGTGATGTTGCTGCCTCTGTCCTTCATATTTTATTGTTGTTGTTGTTATTGTTGTTCTTCTTCAGGTTTTAGCTAAAATCCTTCTGTTTCAATGGAGGGGATAAATAACTGTGGTTTCAGTGAATGAGATAAAAAATTTAAAATGTTAATTAAATTTGAAAATATACTACATTAAAAAGTTAGTTCACCCTTCTAATGCCTAGTCATTGTGGCTTGCAATACTACAATATCAGTTCATGCATTACAATAAAATATTAAAATAAAAATATATTAAAATGTACCAAAGACATTATCTTATTAGTAAAAGGATTGGGATTTTTCTATAGTCCTCAATTTAAAATATGGGACAAAACTACAAGCTTTTTATAAAGTAACAAATATTTCTGCCTATAGTTGTCACTTAAATTAACTTTTAGGCATAGCCTTAGTACATAATTCCTTAAAAAGTACAATATTCCATTTGGAACAAATTTAAACCTATTCTAGAGCCTGTTTCCTTTATGAACTTCTTATAGCCAATTAAGAGCCTCATTAAATCAATTCAGAACATCAATAGATTCATTAAGTCAAGAATTACCCATCACCACATATAGGTGGCTATAGATCTCACAATTTTATTTCCTGATACTACTATACAAAGGTAAATCCATGTTAAATAATCCAGGGAGGAGTGGCATCTAACTTTTATGGATTTAGTCTGGCCTAGCAATAGGGACAATGGTAATGCTGGTAGAAATTATAGCCAACGTCCATGGGCCAAATGTTTACTGATACCTTCGCTACATACTTTATGGAAATGGCTCTCAAACAAAGGTAGAAATCGTAATAAAATATGTGTTTCTGTTACCACTACTCTTCACATTCTATTTTTTATACATACACATGTGTATGCACATACAAACACACCAGAGTCAGTAGTGTCATATGTGCTAAAAGATTCAGTAGAACTAACAAGAACATA